GGGGAGAAGAGCTAGGAAGGAATCTATAGGAAGGATTTGAGTGGGGAAACATGAACGGAGAAGTAAACTCCCTTATAAAAGTGGGAGAGAGAACAAGCATGTTTGATATGTCCATAAAAGACAGGGCATATATCAAAATCTTTAAAATGACTTAAAGGTTAAACTTCTCTCAAATTTACCACAAAATTTACAATAATCACATTTTTTAATAATAAAATGTCATTTCTCCCTAAGTGACATAGAAGGTAAACTAAATCTTTAGAAATTTTAATTATTAACATACCTGCTTAATATAAGAAATAGTAGCTTCCCGAGGTACCTCCAACTGGATATAAATCCCAGTGGGCAAAAGAAAATCCACAGGTATGGAGCCATCAGATGCTATCTGTGAGTCCACTGCCCAGATGTCAAGAACGTCTGCCATAGCAGGAGGCATTATGAAACTGAAGCACATTCATAACCATGGGGCCCTAGAAATCAGTAAATAAAACACAGCAAAACAATGATTAGCCAATTTTTATATTAAAATATGACAAACGAGGAGCATACCAATTATCCCAGCTACTTGGAAGGCCAAGGCAGGATGATCCAAAGTTCAAAACCAGCCCAGGCAACTCAGACCCTGTCTCAGAATAAAAAATAAAAAGGGCTGGGATGTAGCTCAGTGGTAAAGTACTCCTGGGTTCAATACCCAGTACCAAAAAAGTTTATATATGTATACATATATGATAAAGCCCACCAATCCATAATTAGTCTTTGGATTTCAACATAACCAATAACATTAATAGGAAGCTAATTAAAAAATATGTTACTTTTGAAGCCAGGTGTAGTGGCACATGCCTCTAATCCCAGCAGCTCAGGAGGCTAAGACAGGAGGACCAGGAGTTCAAAGCCAGCCTCAAGCAAAAGTGAGCCACTAAGCAACTCAGTGAGACCCTGTCTCTAATTAAAACACAAAATAGGGCTGGGGATATGGCTCAGTAATTGAGTGCCCCTGAGTTCAAGCCCTGGTAAATAAATAAATAGAAAGAAATGATTAAAATGTGGGATTTTAAAAAATATTTTATTAGTTGTTGATTGACCTTTTTTTATTTATATGTGGTGCTGAGAATCGAACCCAGTGCCTCCCACGTGCTAGGCAAGCACTCTACCACTGAGCCACAACCCAGCCCTAAAATGTGGTTTTTGAAATAAATTATAATTATAAAATATATCACTATACATGTATGTGTGTTACATAACAAAAAAAATTAAATAAACCAAGATTCAAATCCCATTTATTTAAATCATGAAGGTCATGTCAATTTAGAAATCAACTTTGTTTTTTATTTTTTATTTTTTCAATCATCATGCCTCAGTCTCTCAGGAAGCTGCAGTTTACAGGTATGCCCCAATGCACCTAACAAGTTGAAACATTTTTTTAATATATATTTTTTTAGTTGTAGTTGGACATAATACCTTTATTTTATTTATTTATTTTTATGTGGTGTTGAGAATCGAACCCAGTGCCTCGCACATGCTAGGCAAGTGCTCTACCAGCCCTAGTTGACACATTTCTGGCCATTCTAACTTTCATGAATAGAAAACACATCAAATACATTTTAAAAAATGAGTTCATAATGATCCAAAAACAACAACAACAAACCCAAATTTTTCATTAGTCACTACTGGAGATGGCTAAGACATCACTGATTCATTATTTTAAAAACTGATAAAGATTGAGAAAGTAAATCAAACATATAGCCTGCTAGTACTAACTCTATTTGAGTAAAATTATTACAAACAGGGGTTAAGTTTGTCTTTTTCTTAGTTAGAAAAATAAGCATTTTGTAATCTCTAATGATTAATGAATCTAGACAAAAATCATTAATAGATTCTAAAAAACAGTAATATTGAGTGAAAGGATGACAAGAAACTTTCCAATAAATTTATCTTATTGACAACACATGAACCTCTGATTGATCTTAACATCACAGAAAATGAGAGCACTATGCTTCTTACAAAGTATTGGTAACAAGAAGTACTTACCCATCCCTATACTTTCCTTTGAGAAAACAAAACTGAATATGGGTCTAATAGAGCCTCTAAAGCTGATCTATATCAGCTGAAATTATATGAAATACAGTAAGAAGTTAAACACTTCAACGAAGTAATCAGCCGAGTGTAAAATGTGGGATGTTCGACAGAACTAAAGATAAAGTTTATCCAGCTAATCAATAACAAGAATAGGGGTTAGGTGGTGGTAGAAGACCTGTTAAAGACTAAAAGAGCATTTAGAAGATAGAGCCACAAGGTGAGGTACTGGGGAATGAAAATGATCAAATTATATTGTCACACTACGTGCCTGTATGTGTAACAATAAACCCTGCTATTACATACAATTAAAATGCACCAATAAAAAGTTTTAAAAGAAGACATGGCCAGACCCAGTGTTAATTTGAACAATTATAAAAAACTATCTTTGAATAATCTGGAAATTTTAAATATGGATTGACTATAAGCTCCTTGTGGGCTCAGCCCATGCTTTTTAAGTTCTGGTTTCTCATTGCAGTATATAGACAAATCTCTACATATTTAGGAACTCTAAACCAATAAATTTTCATAGCTGAAAACAAAACTACACAAAGTCATCACATGTCGCATTGTCACTAGACCTGGAATCTTTAGGCAAATCACTTCAGAGCAGCCTTTGAAAGTTGTTTTCAGTGGAGGAATTTCTAAATCTTGCATGTAATAGGTATTCAGTAAGTATCTGCTGAATCAAAACAGGCTGCATCAAAAAAGATGCTTTCACATATTCAAATACCACCATGCAAAGACAAACACAGAGGAAAGTCAACTCCTGAACAAGTCAGAGCAAGTACTATGACTTAAGAGTTACTAACAAAAGCTTAGATGAAAAACAAAGTTAGCCTTTAAAATAAAGAAGGCTGATGAGGGCTAGGGGTACGGCTCAGTGTCAGTAGTGGGGCACCTGCCCTGAGTTGAATCCCTAGACACCCCTCCACACACACACACACATAGCTTATGAAACATCAGCCATGTGTCACAAAATGACAATCATAATGACCTATATCTACTCCTGGTTTTTGGCAAGACTCTCTCAACTGAAACCAAATCACTCAAATAATATAAATAATAATACAGGAGCATGAGCTGGCATGATGGCACAGGCCTATAATCCCAGCAACTTGGAAGGCTGAGGCAGGAGGATCACAAGTTCAAAGCCAATCTCAGCAATTTAGTGAGACAGTAGCTCAAGATAAAGAGGGTAGGGGATAGGGAATGTAGCTCAATGACAAAGCACCCTTGGGTTCAATTCCCAATATCAAAACAAAACAAAAAAAAAAACAATAAATAGGAGAATGAAACTATACAAACACAACTCTGGGATCTAACCCTTACCACACAGCTGGAAACAGTAAAGCATCCTAATGTGCAGAGACCAAAGCAGCCATCTTTCCCAGGCTATGCAGGCACTTCATCACTAATCCCATCAACTTTCTAGACATGAAACTCTAAACTTCTGGGCTATTAGTGGAAAAAGCACTGAGGTGGATTCCAGAATTTCTTGATGACATGGTTATATATAAAAATGAAACCTGAAAATGCATCACAATGAGCTCCTACTCTTCTTCTTGTCTAAATCAGTCACTTAACCCAACATATATGTACAGTCATGCTGAAATACTGGTACTTGCCAGCAATTCCCATATTCGCTCCTACCTCCTACCTGAAACACATTATTCCCTCTCCTTACCATGTCTCCTGAGAAACTCTTTTACACTTCTGGATTCCTGGAACCTCCCACTGGTATTTCTCTGTGTGCCTCAAGCATATTAAGCCCTCAATGAATATTTATTTATGGTTAAATGAAACAGTGAATAAAAAATTCTATAGAATTTGCTGGTAGAACAATTATACCAGATACTTAAAATGTGATTTAAGTAAAATAAAAGTGTGGTTTAAATCATGCTCTACAGGAAATATTAAACTATACAGCCTTCAATCTAGTCATTTAGCACCTAGTCTAATGCCATATATAGCCTCCAAAATCGTTATTATGAACGCAGCACAGTGGTACATGCCTGTAATCCCAACGGCTTGGGAAGCTGAGGCAAGAGGATCACAAGTTCAATGTCAGCCTCAGCAACTTGGTGAGGCCCTAAGCAATTTAGCAAGATCCTGTCTCTAAAAAATAAAAAATAGAAAGGACTGGGGATGGGACTCTAGTGAAGCGCTCCTGGGTTTAATCCATGGTAATAATAATAATAATAATTATTATTATTATTATTATTTAAAAAGTGACATTATGACTGAGAAACAGAAAATTCCATAGTCCATTTTCAGAATACAGCATTTAACCTTAATTGGCATATAAGATCCAACTGTAGCCATTTTAATTATGGCCCTTCCCTTTGCACACCCTAATTTGAAAATTAGTTAGATTGTAACCCCATGCTCCTCCTATCAAAGCAGGGGCAGTACTGCATTAGGGATAAAAGCTGGCAGATTGCCTACCCAGGTGCACTTACTTACTGGATATTCTTTGGTACCATGCCCTTCGGCAGAATTAAAGTCTGTCTTGTCAACACATTTCCAAGCATGTATTTAAGTCCTTGCAGTACTCCAATATCTCCAACATTATGTAAAATGTTTTTACCAATACACAAATGAAATGCCATATATATCTACATCTAGAACTTCTTAGGAAGTCTGAAATGACTTAACTCAGATATTTAAATCAATTCACACAGTTTTACCAAAATCAATCTATATCTTGAGTATGTACATTTTTCTATAAAAGAATAAAGTAGGAAAATATTAACAGAGTTCTGATTGCATCACCATTACTACAGATCAGGCTTTGCCTGATATCAGCATGTTTAAAACCTATAATCTCCTCACCTGTTATGAGAAACATGATACAGGTTTCACTTATAACTTAAGTATGAAACCCTCACTATATTGCGATTCCGCAATGTTACAGGCATTTCCAAAAATGATGTATTTTTAACTGATTTTCCACTATAGAACTGCTTGCTTTCATGTTATGGCATTCTCCATCAAATTTAGACAACCCACATCAGGATAGCTATTATTTTTAATATATTAAAGAATAAATTACTCATTTCAGAATTAATTAAGCTAAATATTTATGTTTTATGCTCTTTTCAAAATGCTGTATTTCACTACAAAAAAATCTTAAAATTTTTAAAATGGTAAAATGCATTGCAAAGTCTAAGTATTTTTCTTGTTACATCTTTTTCTTCCCTTCTTTTTTTTTCCTTTCCCCTTTCCGGGTGCTAGGGATCCAACCTAGGGTCTCATGCACACTATGAAAGCTGAGCGGTACTCACAGCCTCATGTGACATATTAAAGGACATCATAAACGCAAGTTCTATCCTTTAGCTTTACAGTTGCCTGTGCTTACCAGGAAAAAATCCTTCCTCACAACACATTTTTACTTGAAAATCAAGACAATCAAAGGGGTTCTTATGTTTCTGGCTGGGTTGTCTTTGGCTAATTAAGGGGTATATAAGAAGCTGTAAGTCAAGAAAACTTAGTTCTTTTTTTTCTTCCTTTTTTTAAAATATGTATTTTTAGTTGTTGATGGACCTTTATTTTAGTTATTTATTTGTATGTGGTGTTGAGAATCGAACCCAGTACCTCATACACATGCTAAGCAAGCCCTCCACCACTGAGCTACAATCCCAGCCCAAGAAAACTTAGTTCTCTAACAGATTTGAGAAAACTAGCTTACTTTTCAAATTTTAGGGTTAATAAATGTATTGATGGAGCCAGGTGCCACTGGTGCATGCCTGTAATCCCAGTGGCTCAGGAGGATCATGAGTTCAAAGCCAGCCTCAGCAACTCAGCAAGGCCCTGAGCAACTCAGCAAGACCCTGAGCAACTAAGCAAGACCCTGAGCAACTCAGCAAGACCCTGTCTCTAAATAAAATTTATAAAGGGCTGGAATGTGGTTCAGAATCCAAGCGTCCCTGGATTCAATCCCTGGTTCAAAAAAAAAAAAAAATATATATATATATATATTGATAGGATGGTCAAACTAAAACCAGAGGATGTCTTGCAGCATGTATGACCTTTCAGGGTAGGTTATTGATGGAGGGGCCAAACTCACAAAATGTGGTGTGCTATATAAAAAAAAATAATAACATGCCTTGTGTCAAACCTAAAACTGTGATGCAGTTATTAAATTAATGAGGTAACAGACCAAGGGGTAACAAATCTTGTTTTATCAAATGATGAAATCACCCCAAAGAGCTGGAATTAGATTGGTAGTGTTAAATCTACAGTTTTCTGAAGAAAAAAAAAATCTTGCTCTATAGAGATATATTAGGAAACAAAATTATTGCTACTAAGTTAAAAATAAAATATACTGTTTCTTATTTCCCTCATCACCATTATTTATAAGGGGGCACCACATGTACACAAGAGTCCAGCCTTTGAGTTTCAGGTTGGTCAGTGTTTTAGGAGTCAAACACATTTCCCATTTTAAAGATAAGAAAACAAAAACCCAGAAAGATTAAGTAAATGATCCAGGAAGACAAAGAGACAATGGACACAGCCAGGACCAAAGTCCCTCTCCTACCCCCCAAAAGAAATTATCATATAGCATATTTTCCCTCATTTTCAGTCTTTTTCTTTCTTTCCCCTCTCCCCTACTCCTCTCACTCTCTTTAGGAAATGTACTTCACAGGATCATCTATCTTTACAAGATATTCACTTTTCTATCATTCTTTTGTTTAAGCATGAAAGCAAAAGATCAAAGGCTAAGAACAAGCAGTTTTCAAACTATGACAATGACTTTTCAAGGAAGTTATCAGAGGGCATAAGAACTTCAGCAGTGACAAATGGCTCAACTAAATCCTTAAAAGTGTAATTATGACCCAAGTTCAACCAAAAGCTACTTTGGAAAATCACAGATGAAATTTTTTTTAAAAGACCAAAATAATAATTCTTAAAAATTAGGAATGAGGGTATTTATCCCATATGTCTTATCTACAACATCATATAATTAGAAGAAAGGTAACTATTTATAAAAAAAAAAAAGGAAAAGAAAAAAAGAAAGAAATCTTAGCCTAGAAGGAGTCAAGCTTGGAATGAGCACTTCATTTGCTACTGCAACCTCTAAGTTTCATTCAGAGGCAACTCAAGTGATGGGATATGTCTGGGTCTCAATTCCCACTCCCTACATTACTCATGACAACAAATGAGCCTTAATTATAGAAAAAACTGAACAGTGTAAAACTTCATTTTTAAGAAAATATTATTTTGTCTGAATTACTGTAATTCTAGATAAGATATATCTCTAAGTAATTCCACAAGTTATTGAAGAATAGCTAAAATGGTATAAGCTCTATCATTTAAAGTAAAACAAAATTTAAAATTTATCCTCTCATATTGAAGACAGTTCTCTAAATTGTTTTCAGAAAAGATCTGCAAATAGGCAATTGATCCTTCCAAACTTTTATACTTGCTAATCCAGTAGTAATCCCAGCTCTGTAATGTATCTATTTAAAGCCTAAATTAGAGAAAAAAGTTCATGTATAAATCAAAATATATAAATATTTTAAAATTCCAAGTAACCCAACTGTTCAAACACAAAGCAATAATTCACAAACTTATACATCCACTTTATGGCTTGGTATGTAGTCATTTAAACTGAAGTTTATCAAGTGTGTGATGTTAATAAATGGTATGGAAGTAGTAAAATAGAAACCAGTATTCATAGTATAATTAGAATTGTGCTTACAGTGAAAAACAAACCACAAGCACAATCTAATGAGTAGAAATTAAGGCTGGAAGGAAAGGTGAATATAGTTCACCTTTAATGAGGGCATACAGCTTACACATTCTTTTTGGATACCAAGGAGGAGCTCAGTTTAGAGCCTTGACTCTTTTGCTGGGGAGGAGGGGTACTGGGGATTGAACTCAGGGTCACTCGACCACTGAGCTACATCCCCAGCCACATTTTATATTTTATTTAGATACAGGGTCTCACTGAGTTGCTTAACACCTAACTTTTACTGAGGCTGGCTTTGAACTGGTAATACTCTATCTCAGCCTCCCGAGCCACTGGAATTACAGGCAGGTGCCACTATGCCTGGCCTTGACTCATTTTTTATTAGTTTTGTTTTGCAGTGCTGGGGGCCTCAGGTATGCTGGACAAGCACTCTATCACTGAGCTACATCTCCAGCCCTGGTTATTTATTCTTAACATGTTTGTGTTCATTAGTATTTCTTAAACTGCAGATCTACAATCTTAATTTTCAATGTAACTATAAATAAGATATTTATTTATACTTAGCATATCTTTATAAACAAATTTTTAAATTGCAAGCCAAGCTTCTTTCTTTCTTTCTTTTGGTACTGGGGATTGAACACAGAGGTGCTTAACCACTAAGGTACATCCCCAGACCTTTTTATTTTTCTTTTGATATAGGGTCTCACTAAATTGCTTAGGGTCTAAATTGCTGAAGCTGGCCTTGAACTTAAAATCCTCCTGTCACAGCCTCCTTAGTACCTGGGATTACAGACATGGGCCTCCATAAATAGCCATACCAGGATTATTTCAATATTCATAAATGCACAACAATTTTTAAAAATCATAACACATGTAACTACTATACCAAAAAGACTTCTGTGACTACTCTAGGCACAGACAAAACTAGCTCTTATCTCACTTAAGGAATTCCTCTCTATTCTAAAAATATTATCCTAATAAGTTATTTATAATGCACAAACAGCCAGAGTCCATAATAAAAAAAAAAACTTCCTAGGGGCTAGGGCTGAGGCTTAGCAGTAGAGCACACTAAGTGCAAGATGCTGGGTTCAATCCTCAGCACCACATAAAAATAAATAAAATAAAGGTACTGTGTCCAACTACAACTAAAAAAATATTTTTTAAAAAAATTTTCCTATAGAGGAATACATATACCTAATAATTTAATAATTTAAATAAGAAATACTTTAGGACATACCTGTAATCCCAGCAACTCAGGAGGCTGAGGCAGGAGGATCACAAGTATATGTTTGAGTTTTTATTCTACGATTAACTCTTTTTAATGTGGCATAAGGTTCATCAACACTGGACCGATACACAAAGATTTTATTTATTGAAACACTTAAGAATTTCAAAAGGGCTGGGGATGTGGCTCAAGCGGTAGCGCGCTCGCCTGGCATGCGTGCGGCCCGGGTTCCATCCTCATCACCACATACCAACAAAGATGTTGTGTCCGCCGAGAACTAAAAAAATAAATAAATATTAAAAATTCTCTTTCTCTCTCTCCTCACCCACTCTCTCTTTAAAAAAATAAAGAATTTCAAAAAAAAAAAGAAACATTAAGAGTTTCTTTTGGAAGTATGGTGTCATATACATGTTTTGTGTAGGTATTTGTTAAACTGCTTGGACTGTATGACCTTGAACAAACTCTTTAATCTCTCTGGGCTTTAGTTTCCTAATTTATGAAAAAATAGTTAATATTTACCTTGAGGAGTTAGTGTGAGGATTAAATAAAATAGCACATACAGAAAAGCACTTGACATTTAAAAAGCACTCAAAAAAGAGGATTAATTAAATTACTTGAAGACTATTTTAATAAGACTTGTCTTTTTCCAATAAAAGAACAGTCAAACCTCAATTCACAGCATACGATCATAAGCCCCCACTGCTGGGTGGGAAAGGAATTAAAGCAGTGTTTCTCAAAAGGTGGTCTCCACAAACCTATCGGATGATTTGATCACATGCACTTCCCCAAATTACAAATCTCCACAGAAATCCCACAAAACAGTTCTGTGCTAGCAGAACTGTGTTATTTCTCTTGAGTAAAACTCAGGTATAGGATGCTGTTAAGTCTTAGCAAGGGTATTTTTACTTCATTTCTGTTATAGTTTACTTTTGTTAAATATTTATTTTTATTGTTACTATTGTTTCACATTATTATTAAAAACCATTGAAAGAGGATACCAAACTTAGAAACGCATAATTCAAAATTATATCCCTCATGGCAAAAACAATTTACACAACTGTGGTATAAAGGTTCTAAAACCCAAAATAATGTTCGTGACAAAGCAGAATGGCTACTGCAAAACCCCTTTATCAAATTACAATAGGCAAGAGATGTTAAGGTCTGTAAACAAGTCTGGATGGCGCCTGGCAAAATGCCAAAGGGAGTGGTTTGTGAAGTAATGCCAGCGAGCTATTAAGTGTGGAGATTCCTTATTGGTTGACTGCTGTACCTAGTTTATGTAAATTAAAATAAGCTGTGTGGAATGTATAAATACCTCTGTTGTCCTACAATAAACGGCTCCCACTCCTGCTGTATCAACGTACACAAGTTGTTCATCACCCCCCCACCCCCCCACTTATGTATATATTATAAAAATCTTGCTTTATGGGGATGTCTATTATATAGTACCAATCTGAGGTAAAAGTGATCAACGATTTTTTCTATTTATGCATGAAATGCCATGCAACAAAGGAATTTTTTCATTTAAGTTACTCTGTAAACCATAATACAGAATCAAAAGCAGAAGCAGTATGTACTGCTCATGGAATCCAAGTTGCCAACACACACTGTCAGCCTGTACTTGTCATAAATAAAATCAACTGTGATCTAAGTACAGATATCAACAATTGACTATCATTACAGGAGTATTCATATCATTTAAATCCATAATAATTTCATCGCAAATGACCTTCTTTAGTTAGGACATTATATTTTAATATATAGGTAGATTACATGTATCTATAAATTTCAATAAAGTAAACAAGAATTACAAAACGTGCTACTAAAAATCATTTAAATCTGTAAGGTTTAAAAACCACTAGAGGGGCTGGGGATGTGGCTCAAGCGGTAGTGCGCTGGCCTGGCATGCATGCGGCCTGGGTTCGATCCTCAGCACCACATACCAACAAAGATGTTGTGTCCGCCAACTAAAAAATAAATATTAAAAATTCTCTCTCTCCTCTCTCTTTATAAAAAAAAACGCCACTAGAATATCATAGTAAATATTTTTTTAAAAATTTTTAAAAAGAACCACAGAATAGACTTCTTTAGGGTTACTTATGTGTATTGTCAAGCGTTCTCAAAAGGCGCCTTTGTAAAGATTGTACCATTGCCTTTGTAAAGATTATATTCTCACTACAGTACTAACAGGACAATATTAGAGCTTCTTAATTACCTAAAGGCAAAAAGTTATTGTTTATAAAATCAAACTTTTTTCATATTTGCTAGAATTTATATTTCTAATTAAATGAACTATTATTGTAATTCATTACCAGTTTTGGAGTATCTGTGTTT